TGGGGCAAGATGAGCATGGAAATTCTCATACGAGCCGCCAGTCAACTCTCTCGAGTCGGGTAGTGAGCATGCAATAACTGTCATTGCTGCATTTGATTGGTATGAAAGGGACCAATCACAGGTGCCTGAAAATTCAAATTCAATTTGTTTTTCCTCATATATAATTTGCGCTAATTTTCCTTATATATTTTGGTAAACTATATTTTTAATTTTATCACGCTAGTAGTTGTTTCAACTCAACTCGACGCGGGGTTAATTTGGCGTGGCAGAGAATTGTTTTCTATCAAATTTATTGTTTGACAGTAGATTAAAAAAATATATATTTTATTTGCATCAATTTGTGTTGGATATTCCATGTGCAACGTCTTCTGAAACATAAAGCACTAAACTTTTGAAGTTGTAGCTACTTAATCAAGTTAGCATTAATTGATGCATAAGAAAATTGGAAAGTTTGAATCCTTTTGAAACAAAATTTCACGAGACATCCATGATAACTTTTTCTTTGAATTCATCTTCATCTGCCTAAAAAAAAATCATGATAATAACAAAAAGTCAAGCACCCACAAAACTCTTTCTGGAAAATCTCCATTGTTGAGGATTTTTTTTCTTCATTTCATTGCATATTTTGTCACCATGAAACCCAAACTCCTTAGTTTTTTCATGATTATTTGATATGTCAACGATGAACAAGATTTTAGATTTTTTTTCTTGGTTAATACCGTCCATGTCGAATCCACCTTACAAAATGTGCAAGAAAACCTTTATTTCTTCCATAATTGGAACCCATGTTTCTGAATCTGCTCATGCACTTCTTGAAATCACTTCACTCATTCAAAAGAAAAACAACACCTTTTGATCATTCTGTGCTTTTGACAAACTTAGATTTTTAATGGCTACCTCATGTTTTAATCCATTTCGGTTGCGAAAATCGAAGAGTAAAACATCTTCAACATCAATACCTTCCACTTCAAGAAACAGCCAATTAATTTCTGAAAATAACAATTTGGAGAGGAAGAGATTTGACAGTTTGGAATCATGGTCAATGATATTGGATTCAGAAAATCTCGAAACATGGGAAGAATCTGAGGATCATGAGGAATGGACTGCCGATCTTTCTCAGTTATTTGTAGGCAATAAATTTGCATCTGGAGCATACAGTAGGATTTATAGAGGGATTTATAAGCAAAGAGCAGTTGCCGTAAAAATGGTGAGAATTCCAACTCATAAAGAAGAGACTAGAGCTTTGCTTGAACATCAATTCAAGTCTGAAGTTGCCCTTCTTTCACGTTTATATCATCCCAACATTGTGCAGGTTAGAATTTCATTACCTTATCCAACAAGTTATGTAGTTTGAGTTCGAGTCGAAGAAGCAATATCATGTGAAATTAGATTTGTGATTTAAGAATGAAAATTTTTAGCAATATCAGGTCGTCGTGTTTGTTAAATTCCGATCATTACCAAATTCACTGCACTTCTTATTTTCGCTTACACAGCTTCTTTCTCTGCAGTTTATTGCTGCGTGTAAGAAGCCTCCCGTATACTGTATTATCACCGAGTACATGTCACAAGGGAATTTAAGGATGTATCTCAACAAGAAAGAGCCATACTCGCTTTCAATCGAGACAATTCTGAGGCTAGCCCTAGATATTTCACGAGGAATGGAGTATCTTCATTCACAAGGGGTGATACATAGAGACCTCAAATCGAACAACTTGCTTTTGAATGACGAGATGCGTGTTAAGGTTGCAGATTTCGGCACTTCTTGTCTTGAAACACAGTGCAGGAAAACCAAAGGAAATATGGGAACTTACCGTTGGATGGCACCCGAGATGATCAAGGAGAAAACTTGTACTCGGAAAGTTGATGTCTATAGTTTTGGGATCGTGCTGTGGGAACTTACGACGGCCGTGCTTCCTTTTCAGGGAATGACTCCCGTGCAAGCTGCATTTGCTGTGGCTGATAAGGTTAGATTTATTCCCTATTTGTGTTATAAGCATCCACTGTTATCAAAACTATCAGTTTTGAGGACTTGGTTGCATTATAATTGTCGGGTTTAAGTCCACAAAGTAAAAGGGCTACGGTAAGTGGACTATCGAACATAAAATACACCAGTACCCCGAGGTTCATTCCCTATTTCTACAAATCAGGATCTCATATGCACACTCTTTGTACTAACATGTAATCTAGTCGAATTAATGTCATTTGTTTATGGAATTTAAACACGCTCTGCTCGATCAAATTCTTGAAAGTTGTGTGAGATATTTGTTACCTTTCCTGCAGAACGAGCGACCTCCATTGCCAGCCAGTTGTCAACCTGCGCTCGCGCACCTTATAAAGCGTTGTTGGGCAGCAAACCCCTCAAAGCGGCCAGATTTCAGTGACATCGTGTCTGCTTTGGAAAAATACGATGAGTGTGTCAAGGAAGGGCTCCCGCTTACTCTCCATTCGGGGCTAGTGGCCCGAAAGGCCATTCTTGAACGCTTAAAAGGTTGCGTATCGATACCTGTACATGCCTAACAGTCTTCTTTTAGACAAGCTTGCGTTGCCACTGTATTGTATTTTTTGTTACCTCTTAGACTGGCCAATTCAAATTTTTATGTAGTCAATGTCTTCATAGTTATCTGATATATGATACTATTTCAATTAGTTCAGGCTATCTGTATTGAGTAGAACTCGATAGAATTGATGAAATGGACATTTGAAATACTTGTGTATATTTTCGTCTCCACTTCTATTATATTTAGCATCCCAATCATTTCATTGGGCGTGGGTTGGATTGAATTGATTTTGAGTCCAATCGAAACCTAACACAACATGTTCGGTTAGACAATAATTCAAACTGAAACAAATCCATTCACGGTTGAAACTCAATCCAATCCAAACCGACCAAACTCGGGTTGGTTTGGATGTGGTTGGGTTGGGTTGATTACTTTGGACTTAAGTCCAATTCAAGTTGGACAATTTTTTTATGGGTTTAATGGTTGTGACATTTTTTGTTAAATTTGAACAATTTTTTAAAGTTCGATACCATTTCAATTTGAACCAATTTCAGTTACATTAAAAATTGTGACTTGAAAGGCCTTAAGTCGATTGAAGTTGAATCAATAATACCATTTCAAGTCGATTTGAAAGGCCTAAGTCAAAAATCACGTCAAAAAATCGAGTCGAGAAGTCGATACACGAGCATCAATGAGAGGCACAAGAGACGTGAGACATATGAGAATTTTGATCTTTAAGTTTTAAGTACTAATTTTATTTTATTTTAACATTTTTTAGCTTATTGGGTTAGGTTGGATTGGATTTGATTGAATTTTAATAGATAACTCGGAACCTAACCCGACTTAAAATTTGATTTCCTAATTCAAAACCAACTCAATTGAACTAAAAAACCAACCCAAACCGGTTGGTTTGGGTTGGGTCGATCGGTTTGACTAGTTCGAATTGGCTTTTGCCCAACCCTAATTTCACTTATCTAGTTCGGTTATGTCCCAACTCTGGATGGACCGACCCACAAATCTTAATCAAACCAAGCCCAATGCGACCCATTTATAGTAATGGACCAGTATTAGGGCCATTCTAGGTCCAAGGTCACCCAACCATCAGACCCATTACAATCTACGAAATTTTGGTTCGAATCTCACCATCATCTATTTGTTAAAAATTTTGTGGTGTAGACTCTCTTACCACCTACCTACTAATAAAGACATATGCCCACATCTCACTAATACAAGATATTTTGCATAAGATGGTTGGGTTGTTGCGGGTGTCAATTTTTCTTAAACAATGTCATATTTGGCTAACTGTCACCAAACCTACTTTGAACAAAAATGACATACCTATCCAAGAGGGAATTGTTTTTGGCCGAGTTTAGAAGTCGACTCTAGACTTTATTCGTTAACATTTATTGAGCCTCTGTTTGGTAGGTATTTTTGTGGAGAGAATGCATTTTTTTGGTTGATGTGATGAAGAATACGTGGTTGAAAAAGAAGGAAAAGTTATTGATGTGATGAAAAATATTATTTTATTGAAAAATGTGTGGTTGAAATAAGTAGAAGAATAAGAATGAAAAATATAATGTGACTCAAACAGAGACAAACTTTTATGCTCGATCTAATCAATCATCGGTATAATTTGTTGATCAAAACTCGAAGACATTAATGAATTGGACCCCAAGGCACTTTTATGCTCGATCTAATCAATCATCGGTATAATTTGTTGATCAAAACTCGATGCACATTAATGATTTGGACCCCAAGGCATATGTTTACGAACAGACAATTTAAGTGAATTGGACAGGGCAGCAAAGGATATTTCGAAAAGGTCTATAATCATGTCGGAGTGAAAACAAGAGAATAGACAAAGGTACATTTGTTTGCATATGGCAGAAGATAAAGTGCAATAAAGGGGAGGATAACAGTTGATTGATCAATGTAAGCAAAATCACAAAACATAACGCCATTACCCATAATCATTCGGTTAAAAACCTCGATTCGGGGTCGTCGAGGAAATAGATTCAAATGAATATAGCTTCGGTCTATAATAGATTGTGTTAAAGAAGAATGTTAACAAGTAAGAGACTAAGAGTTATCAGAGCAAAGCCGTGTCGAGTTTTGAATAAACCCGGCAAGATAGAGAATGTATTAGAGAAGATTTTTGGAGAAATTAATGAACAAGTCTATATAAAACTACCCATAATTGAAGTTTTACATAGGAACTGCAACAAAATGAATTTTTTTTGAATTGTACAAGCAAAAGTAAGACTTAACAAACCCTTTTTTTTCAGGTCCATACACCCCAAAATCTCTCTCCAAGAAAATTCAAGAACCCGCCAACAGACCCTCTTTCGAGTTCTTCCTCCGCCATTTGTTCATCCTCAGCATCACTGGAAATGGCACTCTCCGCCGTTGAATTTGACTCGGTAAACTCGTTCTTACTCAAGCTCATTTCAGAGACTTTTGACTCATCTGATTTATGACAGTTATTACGTCTACTCTTCCTTCTCTCTCTTTTGCTCTTTTCTTTCTTGTTTTGCATTTGCAGACCATCTTCAAAAGCATCTATAATTTCGTGTATGAGTTGACGGTTAGGCGAAGAGTCCCATCTCACCCAGTAGCTCGTGTAGCAACTAAAGCAGTAGCAGTTGAAAGATGGCCGGTGGTCATCGGAGGCGGTGCTGGTGATTTTGAGGGTGTTCTTGCGGGGATGGTTGGAAAAGTTGGTGGAGGAGCAAGAAATGAGATATGCCAAAACTTCTCTGTCCTCCAGTGACAGAGCCGCCGTGAGTGTCAAGATTGTCGCTGGCAAAAATGACAGCAATTGGTCAGAAACCAAAGGTGGCGTCGGATGAACAGTGCCTTTCTTGTACATCTTCTTCATGACTTATGACAGTAGTTTTAGAGAGAGAAAGACAGAAAAGTCTGTCGATATAAAGAGAGGAAGAGAGAGAGAGAGTGAACTCAGTGAAGGGTTAACTACGGGGAAAATTTCACTTGTCATCAGTAGACTTATGAGTTTGTTTTACATTGGTCCCTCAACATCGTTTTATTTCAATTTGCTCTTGACTTTTTTTCCTTTCTTTTTTTCTTTTTAAATTTCACCGTTACATTCGTAATCGTGACTAAAATTAAGCCTCCTTTTGATAGTTCGTGCAGAAAAGCTTTTTAACCTCCATTGGGTACTTGAAAAAAGTTTCAAAAAAATGTAATTGAAAAAATAGATACAATTTTTGAGTCTCATAAAATATATGAATTAAATTGTGAGTCTCCGAAAATATATGATTAAAAACTTAAATTTTTATCAACTTTTTTAGCTAAATGATAATAGCACATAATGCTCCCATTTTTCACTATTATTATGGAGAATGTTCTTACTTTTCATTCTTTGGCATTTTCACACTTATTTTCACTTTTTATTGTGTAAAAAGTCACTTTCATCCATTTTCTCAATTAAAAATTGTGAAATGACGAATATATTATTCTCTTTAAATAAAACAAAAAGAAAAAAGAACAAATTAATTGTAATCATAGTCCCAATTTTTAAAAAGCGCAAATGAGTCCCAAATAAATTATTAATAAGGCAGTTATCACATAATGTCCTTACATTTCACTATTATTGAGAAAAATATCTCTATCTTTTTTTTTTTTACATTTTCACCCTTAATTATAGTTTTAATTCCGCAAACCATCATTTCTATCTATTTTCATCCAATTTATCAATAAAGAGTTTTAAAATGATGAATATACCATCTCATTTAAATAAAAAGCTAAATAATTAATCACAACTATAGTCCCATTTTTTTTTTTAAAAAAAGTGCAAACGAGTCTCAAATAAATTATTAAAAATTAAAAATTATTTTTTCAAAAAAAATTGCAAACGAGCCACAAATAAATTATTAGAAAATAAAAAAGTGCAAACGAACCCTTAAAAATTAATTTTCTTAAAAAAAGTGCAAACGAATCTCAATTAAATTTATTAAAAAATTAAAAGTGCAAAAGAGTCTCAAATAAATTATTAAAAATTATAAATAAAAAATAATTTTCTTTGATTTTTTTAAAAAAATGAGAATATATTCATCATTCCATAGCTCTTTATTGAGAAATTGGATAAAAATGGATAGAAATGATGATTTGCGTAATAAAATGTGCAATTAAGGGTGAAAATATCAAAAATAAATAAATGAACGGTATGGACATTATGTACTAATTACCTTTTTAATAATTTATTTGTAGACCCATTTGCGCTTTTTTTTAAAATTTGGGAATATGATTAAAATTAATTTTTTTTTCACTTTTTTTTGTTTTATTTAAAGAGAATGGTATATTCGTCATTTTACAATTTTTTATTGGGAAAACGAATGAAAATAATATTTTGCGCAATAAAATATAGAAATAAAGGTGGAAATATCTAAAAATGAACGATAATGACATTTTCCCGACTTACAAATTGTGTTCAAAGACTTGTTTGATGCTAAATAATAGTTCATTCACTCAACAAAATTAAAAAGAGATCACACTGAACTGACTGAAGTAAAAGTATTTTAATCATTCATTTGAATTTTCATTGTTAGCAAAAATAAACGATTTAACGTCGAATAACGTCAAGACAAGCAATGCATTGAACATAAAACTTATTGTTATGATTGATAAGGAAATTTGAATATCTAAATTTACTCATTCGAGTTTTCTTTAACAACAATAATTGTTGTTTCAATGTCAAACAATTATCACGAGAGGATTAGATGGTCGAATTGACTTTTTTTCAAGTTCAATAAAATGTCATTGATTATACAGCTCATTATAATTATTTTATTTTATTAAATCCATTTGAATTCCATATTCAAAGTTGCAACAGTCAGTAACTCAAAATGCAAGATTAGCTGTTAGGGTTGGAAATCGTATCCCTTTGTGTTCCATATTCAAAATTGCAATCTTCAATCAGTCAAAGCACAAGATTGACTATCGGATCTTTGGGACAGAATGTTCAAATAAAAAATATAGAACCATCAAATTGAAGAAATTGAAGCTGAGCTACCAACATGAACATATCTTTAAGTTGGATGATTTCTAATTATAGAGAGAGAGAGAGAGCATAGAAGTTGGCGACGTTTAATGGGGGGGCTTGTTCAGGCACTGGGGAACGGTCGAGTGCGACGCAGAGCTTTTTGCAGGACAGTACTAGAGAAAGGGTGGAATTTGATTGGTTAAACAGTGTGCCTATATGATGTAATGGGACCTACCGCTTAACCTTTTTACCATATGACTTTTGCAGAAAGAATAATGTTGTTTAGTGGTATAAAGCGGGATTACACTTTCAATTAAATAAATATTGTGATATTGTATTTAAGTGAATAATCATCCTATGTGGCACGAGAGAAACTTATTTGGGCCAACTATTTGGAAAGTATATTAATGGTCCGTTTGGCATGAATTTTACATTTTTTTACTTCTTGTAGAAAAGTTTTTTGAGAAAGTTACCTTAATTTTTATTTGAAAACTAATTTTCAAAAGTACTTCCTCTTCCGAAATTACTTTTAGAGGAAGTCACGTTGAATCAATTTCCTTCAAAATCTTTTCTAACTACCAAAAATAGTTTCATAAAATTAGGGGAAAATCGGGCATCGATCCCAAACCTTTCATTTTGTTGCAAATTACACACAAACCTTTAATTTTTGAGGTCGAAGTCCCAAACCTTTATATGTAATTACAGCGTCGGTCCCAAACCTTTTATGTAATTGCAGCGTCTGTCACAAACCTTTTTTTGAGGATGAAGTCCCAAACCTTTGTATGTAATTGCAGTGTCAGTCCCAAACCTTGAATTCTGTCCATAAAACTGTTAGTCAACGTTGAAACAGTAATTTTGACTCGAAAAATTTGTAGCGTCGATCCCAACCTTTCATTTTGTTGCAGATTACACCCAAACCTTTCATTTTTGCGACCAAAGTCCCAAACCTTGATATCTAATTGCAGCGTTGGTCCATTTTACGCATTCTGTCCAATTTTTTTTATGAAATCTTTTACACACCACTCACATTAGGGAGTGGGACCACAAGCTGAAATTTTTAAATACACATGGAGCCCGCGCCAAATGTGAGAGGAGGGACACCATTCAGTACCCCCCATTCGGCACATTTGGCTTTTCTCTAAAAATAATTTATCGATTCGATTATTATAACAAATCGGATGGAATTTTTATCTGATCGAATAGTTATCAATGATGAGAATGTGATGGTTGTGAAAAAATTGAAGGATTTGAAGAAGATAAACATTTTTTTATAACTTATTTTGACAATTTTGCTCATCAATTAAGTTGTCATTTGAGACAAAATTACTATTTCAACGTTCACTGACGATTTTACGGACAGAGTGCGTGAAATGGACCAACGTTGCAATTACATATAATGGTTTGGGACTTCGGCCGCAAAAATGATAGGTTTGGGTGTAATCTGCAACAAAATGAAAGGTTTGGGACCGCGGCCGCAATTTTCCCATTAACTAAATGATTAAATATAAGAAAAATACTTATAAGTAAAATAAGATAAGAAAAATTACATAGTAATTAAAAAATTACGTATAATTAAAGATCACTTTTATGTAAGTAGGGCAACGAGCCGAGCTCGTGGGGCAACGCTCGGCTCGGCTCGGCCCATTGCCATCACTAGTCCAAACAAATTTAAAAGTAGCTTTCGGATCTCAAAAGTTCTTTTTAACTTTTCAAATGTCATTCCAAAGAAGCCCTAAGCCCCTATTTGACAACAATTTTTAAAGAACTATTTTTTTTCAAACTCATTTTCAATCACATTCTCACTATCAAATATTCAGTGCGTAAATCAAAATTTTTTTCTTATTTTTTAATCGCACAATCTTAAAAAAATCACTATTTCTAAACTCTTTTTTTTTTTCCCCTAAAAATTTCTTTTTTATTGTTGTCAAACTGGGGCTAAATACATTTAGCCCATGTTTGATTCCTATTAAATTTTAATTCATTTTTCCTAAATCTAAAAATTATCTTCGCTTTTTAACTATACATTTTTCAAAAAACACTACTCCAAAATCTTTTTTTTTTTTTTTCAAATAACGGAGCTCAAACAAGAGCTAAAAGGCCTTCTAAATTTGGGTTTTACAGGCCCATAGTCTTGTCACGTGCATTTAATAATTAGCACTTTGAGTCTTCTTTTGTTTTTTTTTGTTTTTGGTCCAAAATGCATTTTATAATAATATTGTGATGGAGAATATGTGGTTTAAAATAAGAAAAAAGTTTTGAGTTCGTGCGTAATATTATTTTATTGAAAAATGTATAATTTAAAATAAGAGAGAAAAAAATGTATTTTAAGAATAATGGGACCAAAACTTTAATATCAATATTTTGATAACCAGTAACAGTAGCGTCCGCCAGTAAAAGATAAGGAGTTAAAGGTTAAATTGGAATCAAAATGATAAAATAACATTAAAAATAATAAAAAGTAAAATTTCAAGGAGATGGCGGATTTTTTTACTTATTTTAAATGATTTTCATTTTCGGAGGGATTTCCAGTCAAACTGGCCAATCCGGTTGGATTTCTAGTTTTTCCAGTCAAACTGCCTAAATGTGAACAAGTGCTTGGCGGTTAAAAATTCCCCTTCCAACCACCCCTACTCGTCTGTCGCTCTAGTATTGTGCGTGGGCGAGGATCGAAAAGTACCAAGACGAGCGTCCCAGACGTCCTCAACTTAAGTAACATGTACTCGAGGAACCTTGTAACCACATGGCCTTATAGTGATTGAAATTCGATTGACAAAGAAAAAGAAAGAAATATTGACTTGACTGCTCCATTAAATAGCTACATTCAGTTCATTTTCCCTGGTCCCTTGGTCAGCGGTGCTCTAAATCATAATTGCAGC